AGGCTTCTGCTGCTGCTGCTTCTACTGCTGCTGCCGTTCCTGCTGCCGCTGCTGACTTTCTTGCTGATGCTGCTGCAGCCTCTGCTGCTGCTGCCGTTCCTGCTGCCGCTGCTGACTTTCTTGCTGGTGCTGCTGCAGCCTCTGCTGCTGCTGCTTTTGCAGCGCCGCCGCCTCTGCGGCTGCTGCTGCAGCTGTGTCGCTTTTCCTGCTGCTATTGCTGTTGTGTTTTCTGTGTCTATGCCTGCTGCTGCTGCTGCGGTTGCTGCTGTTATGAAGCTACAAGGCCTGCTTTGACCCGTTGTCTGGTGCTGCTGCTGCCACAGCTGTTGCTGCTGCCACAGACGCCGCTGCAACGGCAGCAGCAGCAGCAGCAACAGTGTACACGCTCAATGTCTGCCTTAACTGCTAGATCGTCCACTAACGGGCTCTTATATAAGTTTCAAAGGGCTGCAGCAGCAGCAGCAGCTGCAGCAGCAGCAGCAGGAGAGCGTTGCTGCAGCACGCAAGTGCTATTCCAGCAGCACAGGATACATTTCATCGTTATGAATTAACATTTATTATTCATTCGTTTTGTTTTTTTCCTTTTAAGAACTAAATACTGCTCAGCAGCAACGAGCCCTATCCTGGGGGGCCCCATGGGCCGCCTGGGCCTGGTCAGCAGCAGCAGCAGCTGCTGCTGCTGCTGCAGCTCATGCTGCAGCATGCAGCAGGAGCTTTAAAAGTTGGGTTAAGGCGCTACTTCCAAAAGAGCTGGACTCAGCTGGCGGTCCCTCCTACACGTGCAGAGGCAACAAAGCAGCAGCAGCAGCAGCAGCAGCAGCAGCGGCAGCAGCAGCAGCGGCAGCAGCAGCAGCAGAAGCAACCGCAACAGTAGCAGCAGCAGCAGCAAGAGCAAGCGCAGTAGTAGTACTACAAGCAGCACGAGCAGTCGCCGTAGCAACAGCAGTAGCAGCAACAGCAGTAGCAGCAACAGCAGCCGCAGTAGCAGTAGCAGTTGCAGCAGCAGCAGCAGCAGCAGCAGGAGCAGCTGCAGTAGCAGCAGCAGCAGCAGCGAGAGCAGCCGCATTAGCATCACCAGCAGCAGCAAGAGCAGCTGCAGCAACAAGAACAGTTGCAGCAACAAGAACAGTAGCGGTGACAGCAGCAGCAGCAGCAGCAGTAAAAGCAGCGGCATCCACGAGAGCAACAGAAGCTGCAGGTTCTTGTGCAGCAGCTGCTGTTGCTTCATTGCGAGACATAGGAGAAAGCTTTCGTAGCAGCAACAGCAGCAGCAGCAGTAGCAGCAGCAGCAGCAGCAATTAGCTTCGTTTGTTTGTTTGGTTCTGTGGGACAGAGAATTAATTCTTGAGACAAATTTACTTTTAATTAATTCCAAAATGAATTAAATTTTGATTTATTTTCTTTATTTATTTCTCCTTTTATCTTCGTCAAACAGACCACCGCCAAATGCTGGTAGAGAAATATAAAAGAAAATAAAATGGAATTAAAAAGAAGCAAAAAGAAATAAAGGAGAAATAAATAAAATGAATAATAAGACAAAGAGAAATAAAAGAGAAGTAAATAAAATAAAGAAAAACAAATAAGAGATAAAGAGGAAGTAAAAGAGAAAAAAAAAGAAAGTGGAAGGCTGGAAAGAATTGACTTTTCACAAAGAAGGTGGAAAAAGACGATTCTTTGAAAAGAATGAAAATTGTTTCTAATAAATAAAAAGAATCATGTCTTTTATAATTTAATATTTATAATTAATTATAAATAAAAATAAAAATAGTAAAGCAAGATGAAAACGCACGGCGAAGAGAACACCGAGAGCTTAAATCCTAAACCCTAAACCCTAAACCCTCGGCGAGGGGTTTTGGTGGCGGTGCTATATGGTTCTCTGTGGTTTAAGGAGAAGGCCAGAACTGAAGGTTGGGGACCTGACAAAAAGTTGCTGCTGCTGCAGTGCTGCTGCTGCTGCTGCAGCAAGAGCAGCACGGCAGCAGCAGCAGCAGCAGCAGCCTGGCGCTGCTGCTGCTGCAGTGTACACTCCAGCACGGCTGACTAAAGAAAAGGGGAAAAAAGCGACTACGTGGGGCGTCAACTAAGACACAACACCTGCTGCTGCTGCTGCTGCTGCTGCTGCTGCTTGCGGTGGCGCTTGGTTACCTGCTGCTGCTGCTGCGAGCCTACTGCTGTTGCTGCGCGAAATGTGCAGCAGCAGCTGCTGCTGCGCAGCGCTTTGCTGGCGCCAGCGCTAAGGCGTCGGTGCGCTACAAGATGTGCAGTGCAGCAACAGCTGCGGGGGCTGTTGCTGCAGCTGCTGCTGCATTAGCAGCGGCAGCAGCAGCAGCAGCAGCAGCACGTCTCTGCTGGGAGGGCGCAGCAGTTGCTGCTGCTGCATGGCGGTATCGGGGATACGTGGTTTCACCTGGCGGCATCGCGAACGCGTGCGGCGCGCCTGCTGCTGCTGCTGCTGCTGCTGCTGCAGCAGCAGGAGCACGTTGCCTCTCTGCGCCTGCACTCTCTCGCAAAGCAGCTTCCGTCGCTGGGCTCGCTCTCCCGCTGCTGCTGCTGCGCCTCTCCCCCTCCCTCCCCGCTCCCCGCCGCCGCCGCCGCCGCCGCTGCTGCTGCTGCTGCTGCTGCTGCTGCTGCTGCTGCTGCAGCTAGAGCGGGTGCCCCCTGAAGAGCGCGCCGGGGACCTTGCGGACGCAGTAAGTGTTGAAGAGCTTGTGGGTCTTGGGGCAGCTCCTCTTGGGAGGCTTGGACTCGAGCTTGAGACAAAAGCCTTTGTTGTCTTTTTGAAAACCTTCTTCGCAGCTGTCGTTCGCAGGAATCCTCTCCGTCCAGATGCACTCCTCGCCGCGGAGCTTGGCGTTCAAAGGACAAGTGCATGCGGCGTGGGCGTGGCTCTTCCTGCTGCAGCTGCTGCTGCCCTGCTGCAGCTTGAAGCCCATGGGGCAGTTCAGCAGCAGCGGGGCCTCGAAGAGCCGCACACAAGTGCCCTGCGGGGTGGCCTCGCCCTCGGGGCAGAAGGGCCTCGCAGCAGCAGTTTCTGTGGAGACGCAGAAGCGGTCTTTGAGGGGGGCCCCCTGGGGGCAGAGCAGCTGGGGCCCCACGAGGGCCTCTTTGCTGCAGCCCTGGCCGCTGCTGCGGAAGCCCAGCGGGCAGCTGGGGCCCAGGGGAGCAGCAGCAGCTCTGCGGACGCACTGGCCGGCCTCGAGGAGGGCCTCGGGGGGGCACTTGAGCGCCGGGGGGCTGCTGCTGACCACCTCGCAGCTGCTGCTGCTGCGCTGCAGCAGCGCGCCCCCCGCTGCTGCTGCTGCGCCCTTCCCGCTGCTGCGGCTGCCCTCCGGACACACGCTGCTGGCCTTCGCCGTGCGCCGCTGCACGCACTGCCCCTCCAGCAGCTCCGAGTCCTTGGGACACAGCAGCAGCAGCTCTTTTTCGAGGACTTTTAGGCACTTTGCGTCTCCCAAGTGGTAGCCGGGGGGGCAGCTGGGGGTGGGCGGCGACAGCAGCAGCAGCAAACACTCTTTTCCGTCGAACTCGAAGTCCGGCGGACACACGGGGTTTGCTGCTACTCGCTGGCTGCTGCGGCAGAGGCCCTCCTGCAGCACGGCCCCCAGCGGGCACTGCTGCTGCGGCGGCGAGACTTCCAGTTTGCTGCAGCTGCCGTTCTGCAGCGAAAAGCCCAGCGGGCAGCTCTGTGCTGCAGCAACAGTTTCTTCCACCAGGCACTTCTCGTGGCCCCCGTGCTGCTGCAGCACGGCCCCGGGCGGACACACTGCTGCTGCTTTTTGTTTGCTTTCGCGGAAGCAAACTTCTCTGTCTTCCGAGGGTTTGAAGCCGGGCGGACACGAAACCCCAGCAGCAACTTCTTGCGTTTTGCTGCAGCTCACTCCGTTGAAGATGAAGTGCTTCGGACAAGAAGATATTGCTGTTGTCTTCTCTTCAAACTCGCACTTCTCTCCCACCAGCTGCTGCCCCGCAGCACAACTCAGCTCCGCCTTCGAGGCGCGCTCCAACACGCACTCCGCGCCCTGCAGCAGCAGCAGCAGCAGCAGCAGCAGCAGCAGCGAACGTGCAGCAGCAGCGGCCGAGCGGCGCCGGGACGGGGGGCAAGGGGTCCGCTCGGGAACGGAG